CCTTGTGTTGATCGGAGAAACCTTGTGAAACTACTATCTATCCTACCGATCCAACCGAACTCAAGACCCTGGAAGTATGAAATGGATATTTCGAGTTTTGGGAGTACTTTACATGTAGCCTCAACATTTTCTTTTCTTTTTGAAGGTTGCTCCATTAAAAAAAAATTGTCGTTGGATGGCGTTTAGGATTCTTTAAATCACATAAGTAAGGCAAATATATATCCTCAGTTCCTTTTGATCAATACCACAATATTTGTTCTCCTGTTGTTGTTTCTATCTTCCTCCTAGTTGAGCCATTGTTCTGTTTTCCAATATTCATTCATTAGGCATACTACACTGAAATTTTGTTAATACCCTGAAATATCTTTATTTGAAATTTGATCCACTCTGTTGTATCAGCTGGTGAAGTATGGGAGAAACATAACATCCATCTTTCTAATTGTCTAAGTTTCTAATACATACAATAGCAGTATCATCAAAACTTTACATAATCTTAATAAAGAAACTTTAGAAGCTTTCTTTTAAGTGGCCTATCTATAGTAACACATAAGCACACATTTGGAAATGATGCAGTTTATAACACATTTTATTGCCATGTACATGAGGGCTCTATGACTTTTGATAGTTCATCTCCCATATCTATGACAATTTTAGTGCCATTAATCACGCTTTTTATAACATTACCTCCCATAATACCTTAAATCTTATTATTACTCTGTCAGAACTTTCTTCATAATCTATGAATGGCATATGCATATCTAGATTGAACTCTCTCTTGCCCAATATTTGAGAGCAAACACATCACTACATGATCTTGCAGAACCAACATTGGTATTGTGGTGATTTGCCATTTCCAATGAAATAATTATATGAATTGTTACTGCCAACAATATTATTTATTAAAATAGCATTGGATGGCTTAGCCATTATCATCAGTTTTCGCCTGTATGGAAGCCACAAAAATGACTGCAAAATCCAATAACTCGTTTTTGTGGCTTCCATACAGCAGAAAACTGATGATGATGGCTAAGCTATCAAAAGCTGCTATTTTAATAAAAAATATGGTTGGCAATGGTGACTCATATAATTTTTTCATTGCAGAACCAATTGCACTTAAACTTTTAAAAAAAAGAACCTGTTATAAATTAAACTTTTATTAATAATTTGCTATTCATTTTATATATTGCATTTAAAATATATTATTCCTTTGTAATTTTCACCATTATTCTTACATCTTTTCTAGACAATGTATTTGTACTTTTATGTTTTTTCAATCTACAGGAAGGTCTACATTTCCTTTTTTCTGCAAAGATTTATTGAACTGAAGAACCTTTATTAATATTTACATGCATATTTTCCTAGTATTCATTTTTAATTTAATTCATTTACCCCATTTTCTCTTCAGGTTTTTGTAATTTTCAAACTGAATCTAAATCATACATGCATATGGGATCTACAGGCACAATATTTAAATGTTTCTACATGTTTCTTCTCTAAGACAATACCAAAGATTTTGTAGTGATTTCTCCATCTTCCATTCAGTTTATTAAATGATTATTATAGCAGAAACTCTTTTTATTTTAGGTATTCTGTATGCAACAGGTCTACTATAGGTCAACACAGGTCTCATTTTATCATATTGGTAATTACACGCTACTTTGCGAATGTTCACTCAATCTTCTAATGTGGAATAATAATCTGCAGCCAAGTATCAGAGGCAAAAAAAAGATTTAATAGTAGAGTATCAAATGATAATGTAACGATTAGTATTAATGCCACAATTTGACTTTAAACACGCTGTACAAGAGTCAAGTTAGGATTAAATTTTTATAACAAATGTCAAAGTTCAGTAACTTTTCTTAGTGCTATGGGCTTAACACTCACTTCAGAATTCTGATTTTCTAATGAGCATAGACATGTGCAGCCTAAAACAAGGTCAAATAGAGTTCTGGCCCCCTATCCATTACACCTTTCTTTTTACTTATGATATTTTAATTGTACAAAAATTTTCATTCAGTTTTTGAATTTTGGACTGTATTTTTGGGTGGTTGTTGGAAAAATCAACTCTGACTTGGCTGTACATAAAGGGCTTAACTTAATATTTCCATAAATTTTTTAACATTTTAAACTTAGTGATTTTGTATTTTTTGAAGTATTTTTTTAAACATTTTTTTAAGCATATTTCTAAGTGTTTTCTTTGGGGGATCCATTCTAAATCGATCATGTTACATGGATAGATTCAAAAGTGTTTTGCTCCACGTTTGTGCATTACACTGAAGGATGAAAATATACTATATTAAAGTTTTTCATAGTTTTTTAAGCATTTTCACATATTTATTCCAGTTTGTAATGAAATATATTTAATTTGATTTTGTAAAATTTACGAAATGACAGGTCAAAACACATTCAATATAACAAGTTGGTTATTATTTGGGTATCTATCTATACTTGAAATTACAATTTTCAAGGCACAATATTTCAAGTAACATCATTCCAAATGTAAAATTTGAAAGTATAAAGTACATTCAAAGTGTGGAATTATTTTGCAATTTTGGAATACATAATTGTACTAGCTTTTGCAAAAAATTAAAACAACATCAATACAACAAAAAAATATTAATTATTTAACAATAATGAATCAACATTTTAAAGACTACAGCACAAATGTACACTTGTGAAACACAGAGATTTTTCATATTTAATATCCCTAAACAATAAGAAAAAAAAAAGAACTACTTACTCCACCTTAGATTCAGCAATTAAATCCAGATACTCTAATGTGTCCATCGGAATACTGTCATCTACATAAATTTTAAAATGTCTCTGGGCAGTATAATTATACAGAATTTGATCAGAGATTTAACATGTTCATGAAAAAGAAAAGTTTTTATGTAAGAAATGGGAATACTTTTAAAATGGTCAAGGGATATTGATTGTTTCTTCTTTTCTATAGAAATAACTCAATAACTAACGTATGCAATCTCATTACAGATGCTGCAATAGGATTTAGTGCAGAAGTAGTAAACGTAACCAATACCCTCCGTCATGTGAAACTGTTGAGGCATGCCTCTTATTATTGTTATTGTTGGATCATAGATCCTTATTTTCTGAAGTATTTTTGTTTTATTATTATTAAGTAGTATATAATAATCATTTGACTCATCATAAATGATTGCATTTGTATAAGTGATAAGTTATTGCTATATAATATACTAAAAAATGAAATCAGTTTAAGATTATTAAATGTTGCAAATTCCCTGAGCTTTTTTTTCCATTTTAATAGACATAATTTTCAATAAAAGTGCCACACATTCTTAATTGATGCATTCCCTAATATGGCTTTTAAATCTCCAGCAATACTGAGGTAATCTCACTTACATTCATCAATCTGTTTCTGAATGTTGTTATAGAGTTATTTACATCTCAACAATTCTTGATACTTACAATAGCATCTGGGCATTTGTAATTTGCAAATATGAAGCCATGAAGTTAAAGTCAGTTCTCCAAAATATAATGGACTAGTAACATTGAGCGTATTTTGCCAAGCCATTTTATAACCTTCATTAAATAATATTAAATGTATTGAACAAAAACAAATGTGATATGTGAAAAATTCTTTCTTGGAAAAAATTCAAAATTGTACAATGAATACCTAGGGTATAATGGTTAAATTTGGGGCAAAAACATGAAGGAACTCTTGAATCTACCCTCAAAAGATGGCCAACTATCAAAAGTACCCCCCCCCCCTCAAAAACAACAACAACAACCAAAAACAGTTAAAAAGGTCAAAAAATGAACTAAATATTCACAAAAAATATGACTAAGTTGGAGTTGATCCCTCCTACAACCACCCAACAATGAAATTCAAACACTAACTGAAAATTGAAAAAGTTGGCCCAGTAAATACAAGTAGTTACATATTGTTACATAATGTATACAATTGTTCTCTCTCTTGCTTATACTGTGCACACCTGTAAAGGTATTTAAGTTAAACAATTTAAAATATTGCAAATATAACCATTTATTCGTATCAGAAACTTCGGAAAATACTCACAGGGAAAGAAAGAAAAGACGCAATGAGGCTGTAATAGAAATAAAGGCAAAAGGGCAATCTATTTTCATTTCAGTTAAATCACTGTTTCACTGATGCTCTTATGCCCTCAAATACTGATTTCATTTAAGAGGGTTGGGACTAGGTACTGAAAAATTTAGTTTTTTAACAAAATTTCCTTGCTTTCATTATATTTCTTGATCATTCTAATAAGTTTGTGAACGAATAATTGCATTTCTCAAAAATTCTCAATATTATTTCTCAATATTATTTTATCTCGTAAGAATATTTAACTTTATGAACATACATCTCAAATTTTGGGGGCCATAAAATATTTACCTCCAGGTTTAGTAAGGCTTGATAAGTACCTGGTATTACACACTTATTACCTTTTACGAGAATTTCGGAATCCTTTACCAATAATAGTTAAATTATGAATAAAAGTTAGCAGTTGAAGTTTGATCCGGGATGTTCTTACACCTAAGAACGAGTAATATAGTAATGTCATCTAAACCATTGAGTATCTCTCCTCTATGATCTAAACAATAAAATCCCTCATTATTCTCGCAAATATCTTTTCCTCTCGTTGATTCTTTTCCCTTGTTTCAATTTGCCGCGAAAGCCGCCTCTCGCAGTGAGATCAGAAATATCCATTCGTTCATTACATCGTACAAGGATTCGTTCATTGAACGAAAAGATAAATGAAATGAACGATAGATCGTAGCACGTAATTTCGCGAATGTTCGGAAACCAAAACTAACCAACAAAATATTACGACTTGCGTCTTACTAGTCTTCTGCCAGTCTCCTGAGCTTCTAATTAAAATTGAAATTTTAAGAAGAATCGAGGAAGACTTTTATTAATTTACCTGCACAACGTGGGAGACGTAAATCAGCGTTTTGTCCACACGTTTAGAAGAGATCAACAGTTAGTGACTAGTTTGTGGAAAATGGCCAGCAAGATCATTGCGTCAGCTACTGTAAAAGCTGTCAAAGGTAGAAAAATATTGCCTACAAGAGCTGCTCTAGTATTAACTCCAAATGCTGTTGAGAAAATTAAACAAATTTTATCAGCGAGAAGCGATTGTATAGGTCTCAAAGTTGGTGTTAGGCAACGCGGTTGCAATGGCTTAAGTTACACTCTGGATTATGCAACAGAAAAAGGAAAATTTGATGAAGAAGTTGTTCAAGACGGAGTCCGTGTCATTATTGACAAGAAAGCTCAGCTTACTCTCCTTGGGACCGAAATGGACTTTGTTGAGTCCAAGCTAGCTGCTGAATTTGTTTTCAATAACCCAAATATTAAAGGCACCTGTGGTTGTGGGGAAAGTTTTTCTGTATGAGTTTTCTTGGTAGGAGAAATTAAAATGATCTGTAGATATGCAGCTTTGTTTTCTGAAATTTGTGTTATTATTATTTTGTGTTAATTTTAGAGGATGTTATTTGTATTGTAGAGATACTTACACTGAATGATATGTACCTGATATATTTATTGAGCATATTGCTCCAATCTGTAAATAGGCTATAGCATGGAATTCAAGTTTGTATTTAAGTAAAGTCCTATTAAACTATTGTTGAAGCCCCATAAGTCAGATATTGTAATTCTACCTTTATGTAGTCCCATGACAGTCTTCACACACTAGAGAGCTTCCTTTAATATGCACTAAAGTTCGAGTCTTACGTGATATTGTTTTTATAATAGAATTTTGTATACACAAACAAAATTAATGCTTTTCAAGGTTGAAGTTCACTGTTTAGAGATTACTCACATCCAGCATTAAGAATATGTATCTATTAGAACATACTAATAGAACAATTTAGAACAGAACAAATTAATAGAACAATTAGAACATAGTTCCTATTGAGATTATTGTCTCTGAAAAGTGTACTTCTTTTGTGTTTATAATGTCTTGCAGTTGAACGATTAAAAAAATCTCTTATGGTATTTAAACATGTGTTATTGAGTATATGTATAAAGAATAATAAATTAATATACACTTGATAATATCCTCTATCATACCTTTTCTCATAATCAGGCTCACGCAGAGCAACCATCATTTTCATAAATTACAATACATCAGAAATTTAAATTTAGGTAATTTCTATTTAATAAAATAATGGACCAGTTCTGATTTATTTGAAACTGTTTTATAACTTCATATTTTCTAGTTTACAGAATATTGCTACTGTTTAATTCACTTTCTGAAGTAGCCTGAGTTTGCAAAATCAATCAAAACTGCATTTCTTCACAAATTCAATTGTTTAGAAGTATTTTACAATCTAATTCAGTTATAATACAATGAAGTAGCAACATATTCAAAAATACTTTACAACTAAATTAGAATAATTATTTACTCCCTTGAATTTTGGAGCAGAAACCACAATACTTCCAACCTAAAATAAGGTGTAATCTGATTGAGGGGTGCAATAATGAGTACACAATGCTCAATGTACAAGTATACCTACAACAGATAATTCCAGTAATTTTTTTTTTATTAATTTTTTTTTTTGCAAGAAAAAATGTTATGGACTTTTACATTTCAGAAAATACTCCAGCCTTAACAAGAAAACTATGGATTTTGAATAAATACATACATAAATATAATTTACATATTTACATAAATAGAATTTAATGCTAATATGAAGAATTGAACTACTGGCCTGCCAACGTTCACTTGTCACATTAGTAAATAACATTATGTACAATCATAAATAAATTTCAATTCATAAAAAAACAGCATTATTTTAACAATGAAATACTCCATATCATCACTCATTCACTTGATTGTGAAACAATTAGGTAATACAAAAACTTCCTTGTAAATCAAACTATCACATTTTAAAATTTGTTTGAGACAAAATCAAATATTTTCAAAAGTTTTATACATTTATTATGTTGGAATATTTATTGTTACCTTCTTCCAAATGTTATTGTAAAACAAACATGTTTGTCATTTGGAACTGTACTAGAATCAATTTTTAATATAAACTCAAAAGTTGCAAATTAAATTATATCCATACAAAAATAATATTGCGTCTAGAAATTTTTTATTACTGTAAGATTACTATCAGTATTGTGTCATATTGAATGTTGTTTCAGAGTAAAGCCAGAATAATAAAAAAATTAACTAAATAGTTAACATTCATGAGGCCTCATTTAACTTCTATGAATACCATATTTTAAAAGCCAAATAATGGAGCTAATGGAGTTCCAGAATTGTTATTCAATTATTAAGATGTAAGTGAAATAAAAATGCATCAATTGTCCAACAGTAAAATGTAATGCTGGGTATTGGCAAGGTCACTTAAAAGTGAAGAGATCAAAAACACATTTCTGTTTTTGTATTTCTCAACACAAATATTACTTTGCCAAAAATTCAAGTAATTTAAAATGGAGTTCCCATTTCATCAAAAATCCAGGAACAGGTACAAAAATTTTAAAGATGCCTCTTTGTTAAAATGGTGACAATTAAAGATAGATGTACTGTGAAAGGAGAAGATATCGACAAGAAGAACAAGAGACAATGTTATTCAGTAGAAAATGACAGTAGCTATTCGAGAAGTCAACTGTTGAATTAGGATTAGTTCAGGACCTATCATTTTTATGTTGTACCACACTTCTTTGTTCATGACGTTTGAGATACATATGATGATGATGAGTGGTTTCCTACAGGGACCCAACAGCACCAGCTTTTCCAGTAATGTATTTTACCAGTGTTGCCACAAACTCCATTGCATAAATGAAAGGGATACTGTGTCTTGCCAAAAGACACTGAAGTAGTATAACAACTGAGGACTTCTGCCAGGTATTTATGATGTCCAATATCAAATTTTTACCTCGTTAAAAATATCTAGACAGTATAGGTATCATATGGAAAAATACCAAATATACAGAACTGAAACCTAATATTTCCATGACATTGGCCTGAAAGATTATGCATGCAAGTATGCATATTGCAATGGCAGTAATGCACAAAAATGCTGCCTCTGCCAAGGTCCAATTCTCAAACATAAAGAAGAATGGTACAATATACATATGAACATACCTTTTCACTAACAAACATACATAAAAACCTTACATAAGGTTACTTGACAGAAAATGGGGAACCTTACAGATATTAATTAATATGTTCAATTTATTAGAAATAATAATAGACTTATTTAGAACTTAAATTTTTGTTTTGAATAAATAATGTTAGCTGACAATAAATCCATATGTGATTTATTGTGATATCAGTATTTGCTGCAGATCGATCTCAAGAAGGAATGACAAGCAATTATAACTTAATATGCTCCTATACAATCATTAACTTATTATGTTTGTAAAATAGTAAGTTAGGAAACCTCTGACATGAACAAGAAGATACTTTTCAATTTTTCATTTTCTACAGTAACTGCTACACTAGAATGTTAAAATTCAACCCTGCTGAGAAACACAAACAGAAAATTAATATGTAAATTCAAATGAGCACAGTAGTGTCCAAAAAAGGAGATAACACACACATTATTAAGACTAATAATGCATACTTCATTGACAGAATGTCAAGCTCAGGTAATAGGTGGAAATCTTTCCTACAATTGTTCAAAACAGTTGTTTACAACCATTCTCTCTGTTCAGCAATAATAGATTGGACAACAACTCCACTGGTTCGAGTGATTTTTTTTTATTTCATCCCACAGAATCTGTTTCTTCGTACGAAGATAAGTAATCGTCATCATCAGTAATACTAACACTGTTCGATGAATACTCCTCACTATCTTCTCCATCAGCCTCCTCTTCACCCCGCGGATTCCTCGGATCCACGTCAACGTTTATCTCCAATTGCATCCGTACATCCAAAACCATAAATCCTATTGTAATCAGCAAAGGTAGTCGGAAGCGGCAGTCCCAAGCGAGACGAAAAAGAAACACAAGTCCTTTGTGAAAATTACTGTCGGCTAACACCATTTCTGAACATGATATCACTATGAATGACTTATGAAAACTTATCTTCTCAGTCACTCACACCGAGAACCACCAAATGATTGCATTTCGTACAAACACACTCTTCAAAATAGTGAGAGATTAAATAACCTCCAATAATGATGGGCATTTGCTGCTAAACACAGAATGAATTATAGATTTAGAATTTCGATCTCCGAATGAAGAAAAATAGTCGGTATAAAGATGGGTACCGAAAGAAAACAAGTAGCTGCATCTTGACATTAGCTTCTACACCATCAACAATGTACCATTCTCAAGGTATCAGGACTGAAGATACGTATTCAGGTAGATTCACAGCAAATGAAAAAAGGACTGATGGCGAAGATTGTTGTACGTTGTCATAACCGTGCAGAACTCGCAAGACAACTCACGCCATCGCCGGATCGCACTGTCACTTTCAGATGGTAATTGAATTTTACTCGAGATTTAATATCCATAAATACAAATATCTGCTAAACAATTTTTTGTAAAAATGTCGAAAGCATCAGAAACAGGCGTGCCGCCACAACAGCATAATAACACGCCCCCATCACACCGCGCAATAACAGCTGTCAATGCCGCATTGTCAAAACGCCAGGTTCTGCAACTGCACTCCGGCTCAAATTTAAATTCGCAAGCGCGCATCGGCGAATGGACGAACTACTATGTTTATTCTGGAAACAATAATTCCTTGCAACTCTTTGCATGACGTCGGAGATACCGGAACTATTAAGCGTGTTCAGCGTTTATACGTTTAAGACATTTAAAAAGTCTTAATGGTTTACGTTAACAACGCCCACTATTCTTTCATTATATAGAACCAACCAAACAGTGAGAATACTGTAGTGAAACTTTTTTAGTAGTGAATATAATTACTGTAGTAAACAGAAGATAAAAATCGTATGAAATATTAATCTGTCACAATCACGGTTTATGGGAACTCTGTAACACAAATGTAACTCTGCTACAACTCCGGTTGAGGTATCTGGTCAGTTTGGCGAGTAGGGCTTTTGGTAAAACCTAAGAAGGTGGAAATCAACTAATAATTTTAGAAGAAACACAAGACCATGGAAAGATTTAAAATCAAAATACATTTCATGCAAATTCATTTTTCATAAACACTTTCATTCCATGCACTGTAATTTAAAAATTGTTTAAAAATTCGTCTGAAGTGTAGTATACGGTACAACCTAGGTCGTTTAAACCGGCACTTCGCGCCGTTCCGGCATTAACTAGGCAGTTAGAATTCTGAGGCTTTCTTGAAAAGTGATGTCTTATAAAAGTGAATTAGTAATTATGCGTTGGATAGTCTCAAGGATGTGAACGCGAGGGCCGAAGGCCCGAGCCTCGCCGTGACTTTGATCCGGACGAGCGAAGCGAGAAAACTTGCCTTCGAAAGTAAATTGGTATTGCAATGCAGCGGGGACAAAGCATATGAAGGGCAAACCATGAAAATCGCCTATCCGTAAGTTTTACTCATTTCTATTACAGAACGTACAGAAATTAGGGCTTACGCCCCGCCGCCACGCTTCTCTAAGGACGTACCGTATACTAAATTTTAATCAAACATTCATGTCAAAAAAAAAAAATTCTCTATTAACATTGAATATAGGATTTAACTTCACAGATTAAATGATATTCCCAGAGAGAGAAACACAAAGGTCGGTTTTTAAAAATTAAATTATATCAAAAGATTACACAGGTGGGAGAGCTATTTAACGAGTAATATGGAAGTTAATATACTATTGATTGATTTCATTCATAAAATTTTATCCAACTACTGAACTATTCCATTACCCTTGAAAAAATCTGTTAACACATGATTGGACTATCTGAAACAGAAATGCAGGGCTTATATTAAGGCAGCTCCACACATTCGGTATTTGGCGAGTAACAAGCTTATACTTGCCAAATCCAGAGTAGTGTCAATGGGTTGTTTGCTATTTGCTGAGTTTGGTGCTTGCCCTACCCACTGCATGTAAGTCTTTTGAACACATCAAAGGAAGCAAATCTTTGCCAATAACATCAGCTGCTAGGGATTGGCTGAGCAGTAGCTATATTTTTGTTGAATGTCGAATGTGTAAAGCCACCTTTATGCTAGCCCAAATTATTCTTGAAGCTTTTATGACTCACAACAATTGAAGCATGCGGTCAAACAATTGGATTTATGGAAATCCAATTTGAATAGTCAGAGATCATTTAATAATAATAATAATAATTATTTTAAATAATCTTGAATTGTATTTAATAGAAATGGCAGTCAGGTAATGATTCATCCCCAGATCTTCAAAATATGCACACAAAATTACAGCTTTAAAAAATTCACTTTCTTTATTTTAATATGTTTTTGGATTTAAAAATGAAATGCGTATTTCTAAAAATACATCACATTATTTACATTAGCATGTAATTTGAGCTGCACAGTTTCAGTGCTTCATTTAATACAAATTACACAACTGAGGTACAAGAATCTTCAACATCGAGGCACAGCCTTTTTTTTTTAACATAAATAGAAAATAATAATTACAAAAGCAAATTCGCGCCAGCATTAATAAATGGAACTGATAAAATAAACACCTACGAAAAAAAATGTGCGAACACTTACAACGCACGTCTAGGTGAATGTTTTGAAAGCTCAGATGAATTTCTAATATTTACTAGTAAAACTTCAATAAACTGCACTTTGAAGATACAAAAATTAAATGAGATCAAAAACTGAACATCTAGTATGAAAAAATACATTACTTGGATTAAGAATCTGTAGTACATGATAAAACTGATATCTGAATATTACTGAAAAGAAAGAACTGACATTGTGCAATCAATACACATATAAAAATACAACTTATATATGCTTGGTATTCTCAAATTGATTAGTCTCTAATGTTCATGTTATGTCAACTTTATCTTCTTTTTCTTTGGTTTTATTGGAAGAGGTCCAGGTGTTTTAAACACAGTACTGAAATGGGAAACAATGTATCAATAAGTCTACAAAAATATATAATAATACTATTTTGTAAAGAATACTTAATGAAATCAATACTCACTGGCATGTTGTGCATATAGGGCTAAACTTGCAAAATACTGAAAAATGTAATAATGAAAAATATTATAATTTATTTAAAAAGTATCAATAAAAATATTTATACAATGTAAAAAGTCTACAGAGAGAGTACAAAATGCACATAGATCTATGGTTATAAAAATATGTTTTCGTTAATTCTTTAAAATTTTGCAAAAACGTGAAGCACCCACAGAAAGTGTATTCTATCTACATATCTTTGAATCATCCAAGTCTCTAGATTTACTGAAGTGATTTCATTTTGGGGAGAAATACACTACTTCAGTAAAATGTATTACATTTACGAGCAGTATAACAAAAGTAAAATCTTTCTCAAACAGAAATGGTATTTAATGTTCACTACATATGTTGTGAGTTGATCATGTGTGACGAGTCACACATGAGTTTGACAACAAAAAGCAAAACTAATGATGGAAGTCATACTAAATAAATGGTTTTGATCTTCAGAAAATTCTTTATAATCACTTTTCTGGATTTTCATGAATTACAACATTGGGAAATTTTAATATCAAGAATTTTTATTATATTTTTATCCAGAATAATCTGGAAAAGTAAATTTCAGAAATTAAAAATGGAGAGCATGCCTAGCAAGAGAGTAATTTGCACTCAGAATAATTACTTCATAAATTTTTTGTTTCAAACATTTGAAATTTTTCAATTATCTGACACCATACAAGTTTGGGTTAACCTAAATTCCATTCCCATTAGAAGTTATATTTTTCTAATAACTTGGACCTTTTAATGTTAAATTACAAAAATAAATACTCACTGGATAAACAAACTGAGCAGACATAACCAATGTCAATTAACTCACGATGACAGAAGCAGGCTGCTCGATAATCTACTTTTACTGGAGGAGGCAGGACAAGCTTTTCACGAATGGGAGGCTCCGGTAAAAACACCCACTGAGAAATCAAATGAGGTGAGTATTTTTTTCTAACAAGATAAAAAAGACTGTGACATTAAAAGATCTTTACCAATAAATACTGTAGAAGTCCTTGCAACTGTGGGATCTTCAAATAAAGACCACCAGTGATATCACAACCTTGCTGAAGTAATCCAAGATCCTGGTCAAGGCTGCACACATCAATGGTGATGTTCTACAACAAATTCACAATGTAATACTCAAATAAATCATTAACTCTTAAAAACATCCCATGATTATGATGTTTATTAACAAAATAAATTGCCTTTAGCCTGCAGTTACTTTCATATGCAAAATTTCTTACACTCTTGCATTTATTTCACTTATTATTTCCCAAAGAAGGTGATATTGTTTGATTGAAAATCTCCTGACAGTGCACTAACTACCTTTTATTTTCTGTGATGCAATACACTGATGTGTATCATCACATAATGCACTGACTGTTCTGACATCGTGTAAAACCATAGAGAAAGGAGTGTCATTGCTCTAGGGTAAAACTTTTTCTCATAGTAGAGTAACCACATTACATTTATAATATAAATAATTGTCACCATCCCATATATATAATTGTCTCTGTAGCTTAGTGGTTAGAGCAGATGAGTGTAAACTAGAAGGCCTGGGTTTGGTCCTAGTCAAGGCAACCAATTCTTTGAACAAATTTAATTATATCTATAATGTTACCACAAAGCACAGTTACCATATGAATTCATCCCTTTGTGACCTTATTGAACTAAGTTTCATTTATTTTCGATATTACGGGTAAGTTTGAAAGTCCTCCATGAACATACGTTTTAAAAGAAATGTTCTCTATCAAGCCCATATGGAAAGTAAGAAACATACAGTAAGAAAAGTGATTGTGTTTTATGAATACAGTTCTGTGGAGGCTTATTACAGTCTATCAAGGAAAACTAACAACAGCATCAGAAAGATGATTCAAGAACGAAGAGCCATGTCCAGTGGCCAGAGCGGATGGCGGGAGCAAGCAAAGTTTGAGAGGAAGGGGGCGGGGGTTGAGATATAGAAACACGAAGATGGACAGCTCACTTTCACACAATACATCATTGCAAAATGTCTTGTCAAGGAAGAGGAGGCATATGGCTTTCATAATAAGTCTTATAATTTTTAAAAATGAATGGGAAGAACTAATTTCATTTTAAACTAGAGATAATATAAAATTTTTGGTTTGTTACAAACACATTTTAATCATTTGAGATGGGGGTCATTGACCCAGAAGCTGAAGTACAATACTTGTTACAGGTTCTTTACAATTAAATAATCCAAACGGTAAATAATACACTAAATGTCGTTAAACTTTATATATAATACATTAAATGTCATTGTTAAAATTAATGTCACTTTCGTTTTGGATGCTCAAAATTGTCTCTAATTGTATAGAAACTGTATAGAAGAAAGATTTTACTTGGGACTTGAACTTTTGTATTGAATTTAATCATTTGATGTCATTTGGTAAGGTGTTGTAAAATAATGTACATGTATTATATGTGTTTTTTTTTGTAGAGAGCTGTTGATACTGTCACCTGATGAAAATGATTACTACGTCGAGTGTTGTAGTTATAGACAACAGCGCTTGCTAAAAATATATTCCTGCCCTTAAGTAAGTCATTTTTGACAAAAACCACTCATTCATACATGAGACAAAGTAGTTGTAAAATACCTAGATGAAAAAAGAGGCATACAAGAATCACGTGGGTGGGATTTGCTTATGATTTGTGCAATTCGTTTTTTTAATATAAAAGTCTGGGAACTATACGATGTATTTCCCCAGAATAACATGCCTTATCTCAGGCGGGAATGAACATTTGCGAAATATACACTGCTGAATTTGAAAGAATTGTGAATGTGTGGCATAGAGAAATTAATTTAGTGATCAATTTATTTAAATGGACATTCCATTTAAGGTTTGACTGAATTAAAAGCCCTAAAAATTTTGTTACCTTTACATCAGTCAATGGCACACCGTTTATTTTCAGTGAAGTGCAGAGCTGTTTATTTGAAATGGAAAACTGCATTGAAACAGTTTTATTTTCATTTACTATTAATTTGTTATTATGGAACCAATTTGAAATATCTGCTATTGTACTATTTACGGTTTCTTTATTGCAAAGAATATTCATATCATCTGCAAAGAGAACTGTTCTTCCATTTCTAATCATTGAGGGCATATCGTTTACGTACAGTAGGAAAAGGATAAGGCCTAAAATCGATCCCTGTGGGACTCCACATACAATTGGCAAAGAATCAGAAAGGTGTGTACATAATGTTCCATTATTCCAGTAAAGTATTTCTATTCTCTGAGATCACTGTTTAAGGTATGAACATAACCAATCTAGAGCAACACCATGAATTCCATACAAAGGTAATTTTGAGAGTAAATTGTTATGATCAATGACGCCACAGGCTTTTGAAAGATCTAAAAATATTCCAATAGGTGCTTTGTTTTGAGCCATGAATGAGGGGACATCTTTAGGAAAAGAAAATACGTCTGTTTCCATAGATTTTTATTTTTGAAACCCATGTTGGCAATCTGAAAACGTGCCTGTTTACTAAGATGTTCCCATTTGTACATAAAAAGTCTCTCTAATATTTTTGAAAAAACTGACAAAAGAGAAATTGGTCGATAATTATGAATTTAATTTTTTGTTGACTTTTTTGAAAATCGGCTTAATCTTAGCTGTTTTAAAAATGTCTGGAAAAATTCTTGTGTATAAGGATACATTAAATATGTGAGTTAACAGGTGTATAATGGCGAGTGCACAAGCCTTTAACAAGCAATCCGGAAATTCATCAAAACCGGCCGAATATTTATTTTTTAGTCTACTGATTATTTTCAGAATTTCATGGGAAGAAGTTCGGAAACAAACATCCTGCCTGAAATTTTTGGGAAAACATCTGATGCTGAATTTTGTGGTGGAAGACCCTTACTAAGATCGGCAGCAATTCTCGAAAAGTATTGGTTAAAGAGGCTAGCCACTGTCACATTTCTTTTGTTATCTTTTAAAACAACATTTTCTAGAAGGTTTCTAGTTGATTTGGTCGAATTTTAACTATATTTCACATTGATTTTGTTTTATTAAATGAGTTCAAAATATCATGGTCATGTTTCACGATTTTAGCCTGCCGTATGACTTTTCTTAAAAATGATATTTATTTTTTAAAGTAGAAGAGGAAATCTTGTAATACATTATAATCCTTAGAAATAAAAGCACGAATTTTTTTGTCCTAATCCCTTGTGTTATTCAGGAATTGCTTTTTCATGAAATATTTAATTTCCTATTTTGAAGAGGAAAGCAAGTTTTAAAATGAAATGTATTGAAAAAAAAAGCGAACAAATGCTGAGATGGCCCCTTGTTTTGCTTCTGGACATAAATGTAACTTCAAATTAACTTCTCCCCATAGCACGTCACACACAGTTTTTTACTGTTTTTGATGTAAATAAATAATAAATAGACAGAACACTGGTGTCTGTGGACGAAATTACATTAGTGTGGAGAAATAAGTGACATCACTGAATTTCTCATATCCCGGCATTTGACAATTGAATTTCTCATAGTGCTCCTGCTTGGTCCCGGATTCCCCTTGAGAACGGGGAGAAATCGGCCTCCACTCTACGGCGCGAAAATGTGATGACCCCTGGCCTACAGTATACTTTTATTTCTTGAAATATTTTGTTTAAATATCTTGGGCTTCATATCCCAAAAATATAGTTTTAATAAACAAATGTTTCTAAATCTTCTGGTCTTGATGGGTTAATTAATTCAGCTGTTGGTGAATGCAACTATTTAGTATTCCAATTGCAATATTTAATAAGTTTTAGGAGCAGCTTGCCATCCTTTTATGGCATAAAAGCTTGCCACAAAAATTCCAAAACACATTAAGAGTAAACTATTCATGGATATAGTACTGATGCCAATTCAAATGTAAACAGTGTTTTCTTTAACTCACCTGTTTTTGTGCTGTAAAAAACACGTTCATATAATTCATGTACTGGGAGGCACTATCTCCACTGCCTGTAATTATTAAAATACGTGAATTCATTTTAGCTCCTGCAGTCAACTCGCGCTCCAACCTGCCAAATGAAGAGGACAATTCTCACAAATGGAGGTAAAAGAACAATCATTCATAGAATGACAATTAGAAAAGGGGGAAAATATACCATTTCAAATATATATTCAACACAATGAACAAATTATTTTTGTAACTTGGAATCCAGAAAAAATAACATTTTTGCTAAAGATATATTTACTGTATATTATTTGTTATGAAAGTGCTTCATCAACACATATCTTTGTTTAAACCTATGTTAAATTCAAAGAAAGAAAATAGATCAAGTGAGTCCCCACATACATGCAGGGTAGATGCGATGCTACAGGCAGAATTAAATTGAAAATTCTTTCCAAATGCAAAAATTTACCTATGAATATAACACAGAGACATGGCAAGAGCACCCGCTAAAAGAGTGTCCCCAGTATTTTCTCCTTCTTGTTTGATTCTCTCAATATGATGAACAACAAACTTCTGTATACTTTGTCTTATAGTTTTCTCCACATGTGTGAAAAGTTCATACTGTCCATCATGCTGTCTGCACATTGACTGACTTCCCGTCTCTGGTGGAGGGTACAGGAACTCCCTAGACAAGAAATATCTTCAACTAATAATACGGTAGTTATTAAAGAAATAAGTTTGATATGGATATCATATTAAAACAAGTACCACATTTGCACTATAAGGTGTTAGCCAAGTGGTGCAAAACCTATTAGTTTCATTTTGAGGTTATATCAGTTGTCTATCTTTGAATATTTTATCTACAATAGTCCCGTGTATTAAAGAAAAAAAAGTTTATAGAATATTATCAACTGTACACAAAATGTTTTCGAACGAACTACAATAACTTTTGCTTGTTTAATTGATTTGGCACAATAATGAAGTATTGTAAAAAGTTACAATTAATGTTTATAATAAATGTCCATAGTTTGGATTAAAATTGTTTGCATATAGTGTTGCAAAATGTATAAGTTGATAATTACAAGAAATATTTGCAGGTATGTTTAAAAATTCTCTTTATTTTCTTTTATGTTTTGGCTAAAAAGTGTCACTCCATAAAAACACAATTTCATTACGAAGTTCATAATACCACCCAAATAGATAATCTATGCAGCTGTTAAAATACTGCCATAATTAAAATTTATCATTCACTGAGACAATAGTTACTTAATTAACAGAGCTAATATTCAAAATATTTTTAAAAGAGACTTTAATACTTACAACTA